TACCTCAAGCTCATCTATTCAAATTCTTGTAAGAATCATATATGAAATATCCTTTCACTGTCAATGAATATACGTCTAGATTTTTAACGTGAAACAGTATACAATCGTTTATATGTTTCAAACGGGTTGCGTAAAACGTTGTCTCAACAATGAGTAATTTTAAGAAGTGATCTATAATCCAATATGTCAATAAAATCAACGAAAATGTTCTGTTGATAATGAAAAAAAGCCAAATTATCGACTGCAGATTGCCCTTGTATATGCATCGTTTGAATGCCGGATATATGGGGTGACGACCCAGAAGTTGTCGCGTGGCCGCCGCCTATAGGCGGCGCTCGTATCTACAGGACATTTTCTGCACGCCGCTTATAAGCGGCACTCGAAGCGAAGGGGTTAATTATTAATTTATTTATTTTTTAATTTTTTAATTATTTTTCACATATTTTCATTTTCTTACATATATTCATTGTTTTCACATATATTAATTTTTAACATATTTTCATTTTTTTCAGTTTTTTTCACATATTTTCATTTTTTTTTACATTTTTTCTCACATATTTTCATTTTTTAACATTGTGGGAGTAGAGTGCTAAATGACTGACACTATTTAACGGTAACACTTATTTATTAGTCAACACTTAAAAAAGTACGCGAAAGTATTTGCGTCTGACCTACCGCCGTGGCTCTTGTTGCCACGGCGGCTTCCACGAAGACGTCGCTTCATCTCCACATTTTTGTGCTCAGACAAAGATATGAGGTTCATGGAAATCCCCGTGATTCCGTTCGGAAAAGAAAGTTTTCCCCACGTGCGAAGCTAGCTTGTTTATTTGCTTCATTATCTGTTTTAGGACTCGGCAAATTAACGCGCCCGACGCAGATGTTTCCTTATCCGTGCTACCTGGGCTAGAGCATCCGATCGGCAAGAAAACCTTTTCTGTATCCCGTTATGCCACCACAAACATATTTTCATTTTTTTCAAATATCTATAAGGTTTATGCAAAATAAAAAAGAACTTTTCCACAGTTTTATTTATCTATTAGAATATGTATGTATAACATAAAACCCGCGCTACTCTGATCGACACGCTTGCCGACTCTCTTACTCTCTGTGGGTAGTAGGGTGCGAAATGACTGACTAGTCTTTAACGAAAACTCTTATTTATTAATCAACACTTATAAGATACGCGGAAAGATTTCCGTCTGACCTAGCGCCAGAAAGAACGGACGTGGTGTGTGTCGTGGCTATCACGGTGGCTTCCATTTA